CATAGGGCTTGAAGAAATACTCAATCCAGAGTCCTACAGCAAGGTAGCCCAATAATTTTTTTAACGGTTGACTTCGTCCATCCCTTTGGACAATGTCCACGTTGCTCTCACGACCAATGTTTTTCCAAAATCTTTTGTGTTAAAAGCACAGAACATTGTTGTAGATTTGTCATCTTTAGATCTTTTGCCGGTTGAGTTACTCTTTCAAACCTCAACCATCAATACTGAGTTAACTGCCATTTTACCTACGAAAGAAATAGAAATTTTGAGGATTTCGTTCAAAGATTTCTAGAATCAACCTGAAGTTTTGACGTGATAAGTCTCATCCATAACTATTCGTATTTTAAGAATTAAGTAGATGTTAATTAAACCAACTGCGGATGTGTAACATTCCTTGTGATTAAATGCGATATGAATGATTTAAACACAATTTTAAGAAAATGGACGTGAATATTTTCCTTGAATGGGACTCTGCCTAACATTTTCAGCCCAAGAAATTTGGACAATCCAAGAGCTAAGGTTATGGTCATTCCCAGCAAGACAAAAGGGCAAAGCCCAAGCCTTGTAAGAAAAATGTGGAGGCCGAGGAAGCGAGTTGAGAAAAATTCCTAGTCAAGAGAATGGTTGGTGTGGTGGTGGGCTTTGTCTTCGTCAGCAAGACAGAGAGAGACATAGGCAATGGTGCGGGATCTTCTGTCTGTGCTCGCGATATAAATTCTTTCTCTTTCAATTTCTCTTCTTGTTTCTCATTGGCTATCTCTCTATTCTCATCAGATAAGGTAAGATTTTCATACCAATTTCCTTCTGTTTCTTCTCTTGTTCTTTTCCCCGGTTAAAACTCTAGATTTCATTTCTGTTTCTCAAGGAGTAACTTTTAAGAAAGGAAAAAGAAAATTATAGGAAAAGGGTAATTCAATGTTCAGTTTTTTCTTTCGGTTTCCTTCATTTTCTTAGCAACCAAACAAGGTGTGATTCGAAATGTTATGTTCTTTATGTTTTTAGTTAGTGACAAAAATATGGCGATTTTTATCTGCTGTTTGTTAGTATTTGGATAATTAGAGTAAAATCAGTATAAAATAGGTTTCAACTCTTCTAAAATTTACAATCTTTTTACTTGATATGTGCTGTTATTTTGATTAGAGTTTCATCTTTATGATGCAGAGATTGTGTTGATTTAATCATATGGCTTCGACTATTGTAAATGCTCCCTGTACGGTTCCTTCTGTTAAAGGTTTTGATACTCTAAACTATGCTGGTCTTAGACCAACCTCAACTTTAAGGTTCAATTCTGGTAGAACTTCAATCTCCGGACGTTCTCAGCGCCTTTTTGTGGTGAGGGCAAGCGAAAGGCATGATGGACATGTGAAGAAGATTGAAATGAGTATTGAAGAATGTGAGGCTGCTGTTGTAGCTGGGAATGCGCCTGAAGCTCCTCCAGTGCCACCAAAGCCAGCTGCTCCTGTTGGGACTCCTGAGATTCAACCTCTTGTGAGTGTTTAAAAATGAAATGATCATGAAATTTACCTTTTCCCCTTTGTTTGATAGTGCTTGGTTAGTTATATGCATATGCAATTAGGGCCTATGTGATTTGAACTTTTAATGAATTTGATTGTGTCTGAGAAGTTTCAGAATGCCATTGACAAGTGTTTGCTCTATTGAATGCCATGTTTTGTGGATCATTGTTTTAGATTGTGTTTCATACTTCACAGGTTTGGTTTTCTTGACTTGTGGTATGCTTGAGATTTAATCAAGAATCGCTTGTTCTCCATGTTTTCAATTCATGACAATGCAATGAAATAATTAAAGTTATAATTGTGGTTTTGAGGCCAGTTGGTGCACTCTCCTTTTTCCTTTGCTCATTTCGTGTTTGTTTGTATTAGCAACTTAGCAGGCGCCCTCGTCGTAACCGCAAGTCCCCTGCATTGAGAGCATCATTTCAGGAAACAAGTATATCTCCTGCAAATTTTGTGTATCCACTTTTTATTCATGAAGGTTGGTTTTTCTACGGATATTAGTCTTTTTCCTTTTTGGTGAAAATATGGAGCTCATATGTTAAATAGTCAAATAGGAGCAATAACATAAAGACTGTGATAAGCACCCTCAAACTGAAACATGAATATTATACTCTTGGAGTTCTCTTTTCTGCTGAATTTCTTATCATGATGATTTTCTCTCTTTCTTTCCTTCCAGTATATGCTTACATCTAAATTTGACACAGTTCTCTGTTCCCTAAACTTGCAGGTCAGGAGGACACACCTATTGGAGCTATGCCAGGATGTTATAGGCTTGGATGGAGACATGGACTTGTTGAAGAGGTTGTTTAGCTCTCTCTGATTCTGTGTTCTTTTTCACAATAACATTTTGCATTTGTCCCTTGTGCTCAAGTATTATATTGTGTTGTTACAGTGACTTATATATTTGAAGTTATACTGGTGCTCGAGTTTTATACTGGTGCTCAAGCATGATAACATATTTTCTATTGATTTTTGAAGTTATAAACATATGCCTTATGAGCATTTTGCATACTTATTTTATGTGTCAATTGTGGAGTTGTTTTGAAGTATGCATTATTGGTTGCAGGTGGCAAAGGCCCGGGATGTTGGTGTTAATAGTGTTGTGCTCTTCCCCAAAGTTCCAGATGCTCTGAAGGTTTGGATTCTCTCATTAGAAGCTCTATTTTGTTTCACATGTTTGATGTAATGTAATTGGTTTTTCGCACTTTAGTGTCCCACAGGTGATGAAGCCTATAATGACAATGGTTTAGTGCCTCGAACAATACGGCTGCTTAAGGACAAATACCCTGACCTTGTAAGTCAATGTAGTTCATCCTCTGATTTGTGTTTAATTTAGAGTGATGGGCATTCAAATTAAGATGCCTTTTGTGTTGAAATGTGGTGATTTTTTTTGTTTATTAGGTTATCTATACGGATGTTGCTTTAGATCCATATTCCTCGGATGGGCATGATGGTATCGTCAGAGAAGATGGTAAGACAGATATGTTCATACACTTATCGTTGTAAGAAAGGCATTGTAGTATCTTAATTAAGACATGTTATACAAATAAAATGTAGATTGCCTAATTAATTAGTCTAGGATTCAATTGAAGATGTAAACATAGCTTAGAAGAGTTGCATTCATCTTTCTGAGCTGCTTTTTGGTTTGCTTTGTCACAACACTAGTTAACTTAGAATGATATATACTTTCTTTACCAAAAATCCTGTGTAGTTGAGAAATTTCTTCTTGTTCAGATAAATTGTGTGTAGATTAAGTTACTAAGTTCTGCATGGATATGTGCATGGAAGTACTAATTGCTATGTCTGTTTCCTTTACCGTGTAGGAGTCATAATGAATGATGAGACAGTGCATCAATTATGTAAGCAAGCAGTGTCCCAGGTAATTTTTGTAGATATTTTTCTGTTGGACTTTTAAGCTTGGGCGGAAATCTAATGTCTTTATAAGAGTTCTGGATGTATTAATGGCATGTGATGACTTACTGCCCTTGTGGTACGTTGTTGTGGACATTGACAGCTCAAGCAACAATTTTCTGTGCTCTTGTTTTGCCTTTGTGATTCCTGCTGACCCTTTCCACCCATGGCTCTTAATGCATATCCATGCCTTAACATTTTATTAATACTTTTTTTTTATTATTATTGGGGGAAGGGGGATTCGAATCTTGCTTTTTTAGGCAAGGGGATTGTGCAGCAACCAATGAGCCAAATGCACAAGTGCTTGTTAATACTTTATGTTTGAGCAAATAGTGTTTCAGTTCCTTAAAGCAAGCAAAATTTTTGCTACCACTACATTAAATGGCTAGTCAGTGAATTACTTGGAGTTTGGTGATAATTTATATAGATATTGGATTTGGAGTTCTCTTATGCTTATTCTATGTCCTATCCCTTTTCTGCTAGCTTCGACTTGGTTGACTATGATTTAATTCTTTTGGTGGTGCATTCTTAAAAGGCCCGAGCTGGAGCTGATGTTGTTAGTCCCAGTGATATGATGGATGGTCGTGTTGGAGCTATTCGTGATGCCCTTGATGCTGAAGGCTTTCACCATGTTTCTATTATGTCCTATACTGCAAAGTAATTTGACTTTGTATCTTCTCCCTTGCATTGCTATATATGTCTGTCTGTAGCTCTTCCAGTGTCTAAAAGCAGGTTTTATCAGAGCATGGTAACAGACCTATGAGTGTGTTAAACCATGCAGAGGTTTTATTATTTTTTTTCCTCCCTCCACCTGGATGAAATTGTATAAGACATTTTAGGTTGTCTTATTCTATGGCCTTTGGACATTTTGAGTGAAAGGAATATGTTGGCCACCTGGATGAAATCCGTTGTCACTGTTTCTGACTTTTTTTTCCTTTTTCTGGCAAAACAGATATGCGAGTTCATTTTATGGTCCATTTCGAGAAGCACTGGACTCCAATCCTCGTTTTGGAGACAAAAAAACGTATGAATTCATTTACACTGTATGGTACATTATGTGTTGTCATGTGAACTTTTTGGTGCTCACATTTGATAGTTAATTTGGCATGGTAAACAAAAGGTATCAGATGAACCCAGGAAATTACAGAGAGGCATTAGTTGAGGCTCATGAAGATGAGGCTGAAGGAGCTGATATTCTTTTGGTTAGTATATGGCTATTTCTAGGAACTGAGCTCTTCTTGTTAATAACAAAACCCCCTTCATGCTGAAGTCTCTTTAATTGGATCACAGGTGAAACCCGGTCTTCCTTATTTGGATATCATAAGACTTCTCAGGGATCAATCTTCTTTGCCTATTGCTGCATACCAGGTATTCTCATCAACAGTTTTAACTTTTTAACTACACGCCTGATTCATGCTTATATGACATGTGTACAGTTCATAGGATGAAGGATCAAGGAAGAGAGGATAGCTTGAGAATAGTTTAAAAGTGGAAAAATAATAAAAAGGGGGTTAGGGATTGTGGTGGATGACCTTTAAGATTGTTCCCTGCTTCTAGTTACACACACACACATACACACACACGTGTATACATGTGTGCATACATGTAGCATTGTAAGTAATGGGACTCATGATTTGTATTTCAAAACATGTCTATGGGGAAAAAAGGATAAAAGTTGGCAAGCCCTTACCTGCCCTGACCTTTTTCTTGACATTATTATTTTCTTTTCTAAATTGTATAATGCATCACAGTATGCGCTTTTAGCTGACATAATCAGACTCAATTTGTTCTGAAAATGTACTTTCTTTTTTCCTTTTCCCTCTAAAATGCATATCTTCACTATCCTGCATTTAAAAAAAAATTATGTTGTCCAGGTTTCTGGGGAATACTCGATGATCAAGGCTGGTGGAGTTCTCAAAATGATTGATGAAGAAAGGGTTATGATGGAATCCTTGATGTGTCTCCGCCGGGCTGGTGCTGACATCATCCTTACATATTTTGCTCTACAAGCTGCTAGATGTTTATGTGGTGAGAAGAGGTGAGCTTGGTATGATTTTTATGGGGCTTTGGTTGATTGTCCAAAAAATCTTGAGGTACTAAATCTTCTATCTGAGAGTTCTAGATGTCAGAATGAGCGGGAGTTGTTATAGAATGCTTGACTTAGCAGTTTGGAGTCCATGTTCCTCATAAACCTCAAGTAAATTATATGCTTAAAATAAAATGCCCTCAATGTATGTCGCATCTAAGTGAAATTGAAATTTGGAATGACAAAAAATCTTTGTTCTGTTCTTGTGAATGTAATTTTAGATGCTTATCAAAAAGAAGATCGTAATTCTAGAAGCAAAACTTGATTGTAGGTGTGGTGGTATGGTGTAGGTACTCAGAATGTTAATTGAAAATTGACAATGAATGCATATACAATAAATTAATGGATCATACCAATAACATCACTTATTTTACTTTTAATGGTTATGAAAACATTAATAAAAGGATTATTGAAAATGAAAAAGCTACAACGATCTGGTGTGAGGGGGAGAGAGATGGACACAATACAAACAATTATATTGTAGATTTGCAGAAGAATGTGGACCAATTGGTGGATATTGCTGTTAAATCGCGCCTGCAATGATGCTCTCAAGAATTATGATATGACCCTACATATACAACTGTACAGAGAGATTTGTCTTGTATCTTAGGTAAATACTGAAACCAGGGCAGATCAACTTTGTTAGGTTTCTGAATCCATGTGAAAGGAAATGCATATTAAGATTTTCATAATTGTGATGCAATGCTCAGCTGTTGTCATTCAAAATTTGGTGTGTAGGGCCTTTTTAATGCAACTCAATGCTCTCAGCAGAATGGGTGAATGCAGGGTACTATTACTTGAAACATTCAATATTGTTACAATCACAACTACATTCTAAGAGCAGAGCATCCTCTGCCCACTTCTTTACATTGCCAAAGTGGAAAATCTAGCCCTTTCCACGCACCCTGAGTAGACCAAAATTACGAGAGCGCATCACGTTGCAAATTCTCTGAATATTCCGTGCTCAGTTGAGTCACAGTTTCCCACTTTAAGGGGAGGATAAACCAGAGATAGCCTCCTCACTTAACCATGCTCAATGAGGTATCTTTCTGCAATGGTGGCATGAACTGCAGCACCAATAGGAAGAACATCTTCATCGATCATAAAGTATGGCGAGTGACCCGTGTGTACAGACCCTAAGGTTTCGTTCCTTATGCCAATGTAGTAGAAAGCCGCCGGAACCACCTGCGAATAAAAGGAGAAGTCCTCGGCACCCATCATCGGAGGGACCACCCTGAAATTCGGTGGACCTAGCAGATCTGTAGCCACCTTCTTTACATGCTCATACATATGGTCATCGTTAACGGTTGGGGGATAGATGGTGTACTCCTTTTCGAAGAAGTCAACCGTTGCAGAGCATCTGAAGACACTGGCCTGTTCCACGATCACCTATGTTTCATATCACGTATGCTGGTGAGTTGCGAATTTAAACGATTCAGGGAAAAGCAGGCTTGAATTAGGATTAGAATTTGGAATCAAAATTAAGAGCCATGACAAACCTCCTCGATTCTTTGAAGCAGGTTGTAAAAGCTGGCATTGGAGAAAGCCCTGAAGGTACCTCCAATAACTACAGTGTCAGGGATCATATCAAGATTATTGCCTCCATTGAATGAGGTGACAGACACGACCTGCATTGCACGACTAAAACTCAGAAATGTGTAAAAAGGAATGACATGCTGAGAGACAAAAAGGTCGAAAAAATTGCAAAACATTAGATAAACCTGGGAGTCCAATGGATTTGATTCGCGAGAAACAATTCCCTGCAAGCTAATTACGGCAGCTGAAGCTGCCAAGACGGGGTCGACTGAGTGGTGAGGGTTCCCGGCAAGGCCTCTTCTTCCACTGATTACAGCTCTAAAGAAGCCGCACCCGGCAAGTAGAGGACCAGGCCTAGAGCCAATGATAGCGGTGGGGTGTTCATGAGATACATGGACTGCAAAAATGGCCTCTACGTTTTCCAATGCCCCATCTCCAATCATCCGCTTTGCACCATTTCCTGCTTCCTCAGCAGGCTGAAAGAGCAGTATAACTGTTCCCTGAGGCAGCCAAAGCATTTAATTCGTCAGGGTGATATGGTAATTGCAAGCTCATACTTTTACATTTTCCATGCTTGAAGACAAGTGCTTTATTCTTTTAATACCATCATCAGAATTGAATGCAATTTTAAGGCAAGAGAGTAACTATGACAAGAGAAAGCTAGATATATTGCACCAATGCCCTAGCCATATAGCCCAGAGTGAGTTTCTCATAGATGCTTATAGCAAGCATGCCTAAATAAACATGTAGCAGCAACCTAAGACAAGGTAAAATTTAAAAAGCCTGCAGACAGCAGCTTTTATTGCCCATGTGATTCAAATGGCTACATTAAATATATATTTGGTGCTGCGTCTCCTTCCCAAAGCTTTTTCTCTGAACCAATCAAACTTGTCCTTGCGGAAAGCTACATTTGAACCTGTACTTTAATGGGTTTTTGTATACATACTACCAGTTAAAACCTGATAGATACAGGACGGATTTTATTTGATCAATAAGGACAAAATTTCAACATTGTTGAACAATCAAATTAGGTTTAGTACGCTGTCTAGACACCCTAAAATATTTGATTTCCGACCAAGTTTTGTCTAATTTTTTGGACTTATATCATAACCACGAGTTTCTTTTTGTACATTATCTTCTCCAAGAAGTTAACCATGGTTCCAGGAAATTCCTACTACCGTACAACAAAACGTGATGGAGAAATTTATTCTTCAACGATGCTCTCTGTTTCTGAAGATTCTTTCAACAAATAAAGCTGGGATGAAAAGCAACCTCCCCTGCCCCTTTAATAATAACTATAATTTCTAGCTCTTCATTTCTTTATGCAAAAGATTCTTCTTTAACCCACGAGTTTCGGCACAGGACAAATAGAAGCAATTTTTCCAATCCTAGGGTCATACACCTAAGCAAATTATAGTCTAGTAGACTTTAAAGTGATAGGCATTATATGCCTAAGCACGTTTGTAAACAGAAATTAATTTGTACTAATCAAGTAACAAATATTGTAGCAATTCCATCACTCTTGCTTTTTGGGGAAATTATTCTGCCTTTTCATAACCTCTAAAGGGTCACCCTTGTGGAGATAGAAAGAAAAATGCATTCGCCTAGTGGCCTAGTGTTCCAAAAAGATGAAACTAAAGGGTCACAGGCTTCCCTACCAGAGAAAATATATATACATGCTCTGTGGCTAGAACAGTTTCGGCCAATATCAAACTATGTCGAGTCCAAGATCTTATCTCAGTAGGAAAAAAAGAGGGACATAATGCAAACACAATTATCAAAATACTGAAAGAGCAATTTCGTGAAGTTATCGTTTGTCCACATACATCAATCCAAGTAAATGAACAACCCATGATGTCTTAACATTATTTATACTATCTGATATATAGTATAACTGAATGAAACAGATTCGAAGTCACATCTAAAACTCAACAAAGTATCTGATCCCATCCCCTTTTGACTTTTGTGTAAATTCATAATGTCCATACAACGTGATGAATTGAAGGGTTTAGATTTGTACTAAGTAGAATTGACAGATAACAATGAAAATGTTAAACAGAAAATCAAGCAGCAAAGCATTTATTAGACAAGTCAATTATGCAATAGGGAGGATCATGTAAAAGGAGTTCCAAAGAATTCAACATCTACAGAAAACAGTGGGTCAGGGGTCTTGATTGTTTATCGTGTCATGTCTTGGACAAAAGAAAAAGTGGTACATGACCAGGCTGAACGCATAAGAATAGGATATGAGTACCGTATCAATTAATTGGGTTCTTATGACTCTATTGGCCACAAATGCAAATCTAGATTTACAGTATGGAAAAGTCTTCATTCGTTTAAACTCAAAATCCAGTACAATCCCCAACGGCCAACCCAGTTCATTTAGCAAGAAGACAGTCCACCTTTATGAGTACGTGAAGAAATCTGGCCATGTATGAAGGGTAGTGGACACGTGAAAAGGGATAAATTTCCTTTTGTGTGTGTGGATGTGAAAAATCATGCTTGATGGAGTGGATTAAAAAGTAAATAAATAAATCCAGCTTTGAATTTGGTGGCATAAAATGTAGAAACAGGTAAGTCAGAATCGCCACGGGAAACAGCAGAAATGTGAATCAGCACCATGACAATGGCGTTGAAAGACCATAAAGAAAATTAAAGAGCCGCAACACGTGTGTCCTAGTCCAACTCTTTCCAAATTCAGCAAAGCAGAAAGCTATACAGGCCATTTATGGATATTTAAAGCTACACAAAGGACGTTGGGGAAAGCCACATCCTTTCACTCTCTGAGAAGCAATACCGTCCACACAAAATGAATCGCTTGATAAAATGCAGCGTTTCCCCACCAACAAAAGTTATATGTCTTGCCTAAAGTAGTTACCCTATCTTTACAGCTACACTCATTGGCATCGAACTGCACTAAACAAGATCTAAACCAACACAATTACTGCCTAAATTGCACATTTGCAATGCATCCATCTGCATATATGTATGTATGGGAGGATATTTACTATTAAGAAAACTTTGATCATAAAGTAAGCTAGATGAGAGTAGGGGTAATTTTACAGAGATGTGGAGTAAAACAATGCAAACCTTCAAAAGGTGTTCTCGATTCTTCAATATTTTGGCAGCACCAACGAGCATGGCCACATGCGCATCGTGCCCACAAGCATGCATTTTTCCGGGGACTTTGCTTTTATGATCCCATTCTACAGCTTCCTAAAATCATTTACCGCACCATCAGTGAAAAAAATCAACCACGCCATAATATTCTATCCAACCTCAAAAAGTAAAGTAACTTCTGGTAATTAAAATTTTAATCTAATGATATTCCCAAGGCCAAAAATTCTAAAAGTACAAGATCGAATTGATTTCAGATCTTTTATCGTTATGTTAAGACAACTTTAATCTCGAAAACTGAATATTTTATAATTTATCAAATTTATCCATAAGTACACTTTTGTTATATTCTTTGTCGGTCATTTTATCCATATCTTAAATAAAATCAGATATATTGAAACCTACGACATTAAATTCAGTTATCTGACATAGAAATCCTCAAATCAATACAATATATATATATCAATTTTTTTTCTCAATAAAAAACCCTACTATTCTTATCTTGATTTCAAAACATTAATTTTGTCATAGTTGAGCCCAACTTAGTAACAAAACGAAACCCTCAACATTTCCGAACTTCCAAGTCCAAAGCATCGTCAACAAATGAAATATAATGTTCATGAACCACCTACCCCATTTTCTTCTTACCTACAAAATTGGCAACTACCTAGTACCATACATATGCACATATAAACATGTACATACATATGTATACGAATATGATATATATATATATATATATATATATGTATGAATATATGTGTGTGTTTATATAGTTTAAAAATATATATTAAAAAAACAACTACAGTCGTGAAAAAATTAAAAGAAAAAAAAAAAGAACCTAGCTATACCTGTATAGGAAGAGCATCCATGTCAGCTCGGATGGCAACAAAGGGCGGGCCTCCGGTCCCAATCCAAGCCCGAATACCCGTTTTCGCCAAAGGGTACCTATATTCAATCTCCATCCGGTCTAACTCGGCACGAACCAGCTTACTCGTTTCATACTCTTCGAAAGCAAGCTCCGGGTTCTCATGTATCTTCCTCCTCAACCGTTTAATCCATTCAACGTTCTCGGGCTTCCGGGCCACGCCCAACACGGCCTCGGAACAGGCCACGTCCCACACCTTGCAGCTGGAAGGGCCGCTTGTAGCAGAAGACGAAGACGACGTTTGGTTCCTACCGGACTTCAAAGAAGCCCTTGAATTGATGGAAGTTATAGCGTCGAAAAAATTAGTGGCGTATTCATCATCCGACGACGACGAAGAAGAAGTTATAGAGTTAACATAAACAAGAAAATTATTAGCAAATAAGGGTGTACAGATCAAGATTAAGATTAAAACACATGGTTTTGGAGAATTCATGTTTGGAGAGAAACACCAAGAAAGAAATTATGAGAGAGGGTGAGAAATGGGGAGAAGAAGAGTTGGTTTTTTTGAAGGGAGAGAAAAAGGATGAGAAGGGAGAGAGGGGAAGAAACAGAGAGGAGAGAGAGCATTAAAGCACGTGGTGATAAGGACAGGGAATTAGTCACGTGGGCGAATATGGGTGTAAGGAAAAGAAAAGAGAAGTGATTGAAGAGTTTGGTTCATTAAGGCGTCGAAACGCAGCAGTTGTTGGGTCCACCACTTTCGAGTCGCGGTTTTCGATGAGACAGATTGACACTCTGCCTTTGATGCTGATTTCCCTTAACAAGCACATTTAATTTTTAATCTTTTACTTGCTTAATTAAATTTAATAATATAGACACTTAAAGAATGAATAATGTTTTGAAAAGTATGTTTAACGATTTTTAAGTGGGAAGCCCGTGGTGTAATCCTTAAAAAATTTATTGCATGATCAATTTGCACAACTTGTTGCTTTCTCGCTTGTTTGGTTTCTTAATTTTTGGGTGTGACATGACTAAGAATTAGGTATTCAGAATTTTATTTATTTATTTGGATTTCATCTTGGATTTTGTTTAAATTAATATAAGATAAGATAAAGATTTCATAATGTAAATTATTATGCTTTTGGAAAGTATTGAAAAAATTAAAGAAAAAGAAAAAGCATGATTTATGACTCTTTGATCCCCCCCAATTATCAATAATTGGGTGTCATCTTCATGACATTGATATGTATTTAAGCATGAGGTATCAATATTTTCTTCATCTATTTAAAAGAAAAAAAAAGTATTTGGTACCTAATTAAGAATCTAAAGTGAAATCGAGAAATTTAATTTCGAACCTTGTACTTTAATTATTAAATAATAATTCTTTATTTTTGTGTTCTATATAAATTATTATTTATCATGCAATAAACGTGAGTTGCAAAAGTTAACAAATGAATTATAAATCAAATAGCAAATCCTTCACAAACAAATTAATTAAGTAAATTAAGAGATGTAATCTAGTGGACAAATTTTCCTAGTAACATAGGGGCTCAAAAATTTTTAAGTTGGTGATAAAATTGGGTTGGAGAGGAGAGGGCAGATTTGGACTCAAGAGGCTCGTGGATGAAAATAATGTTTGTGTCATATTCATGATCTCCACGTCACCCTAAAGCTAGCCCTCTCGAAGATGATATTTGTTTAGGATAAATATTATGCAAAGACAGGGAGATATGGATGAAACGTAATTCAATTAAAGCACGTCAAACAAAAAGAAATCCTCATTAATTTAAAAGCTGTGCATTACACCTGAGATGACAGACCGATTTGATTGGGACAAACAAGTCACAGTCTAAGCACGTAGATAGCGTTTAAGAGTTTCACTGTTATGCTTTTATATTTATCTACCCACCCATATAATCACACAGGGATAAAATGTTTTAATATGATATATCAAGAATATTTGTAAAATACCATCTTGAATTATATGATATGAGATGATATTTTTGGATGATGCCGACACATTTCAAACCATTTGAAATTAGGTTTCCATGTCATATTCTTGATAGCATTGTTAATGTTCGTATGATTCAGAATTCTGACTCTTTTTTGGAGGCTTATCACTCATGGCTAATATAGTCAAAGAAAAATCTTGATACTACAGCATTGTGTACAGTTCCTTGTGGTGGACTGGACTTAGTCATGGCCGTCGGATTCATGGTTGGGTTTGTTTAGCTGATCAATAATTGGTTTGAATTGTTGCTTGAGACTTTGACACAGTCAAGGTAAGATATATGTCACTTAGCAGCCAGTGTTGCACCAGAGACATGGCTGCTGCGCCTGCTTTGCAAGCAATTAATTGTCCAAAAACAATTTAGCCAGTTGAGTTAATGGGAACTGACAAAGAGATTTTTTTTTTTCTTATATTCTTAAACCAAGGAAAGTATGGTTACGGATGATATTGTACAGGGGCATGTTGACGGTGGGACGGTGGACAGTCCATCCAAGATTGACACTTCTCCAATATTTCCAATGCTGGTACTTTTCACATGGTCACAAAAAGCTAGACACGTCAACTTGTCTTCTTCACAATTTTTTAATTATTTTTTAATCACACCTCCAATTCTCCTTTTCCAATTTTCCAATTTTTTTTGTCAATGATTTTAGCTACATATGATTCCATTAACCTCTCAAATCTACTGTACGTTTGATCATTTATACCTTCCTTAAACAGTGATCTTCGAACTGATATAGGTCGAAACCCACCCTCCCCTTTTGCCCCTCAAATCCATAAATACAAAAAAAATTGCTGAATTAAGGAGGTCTCTTAGCAAACAGCACAGAGACTGCAGGTGGTATAATGGCTCTTGTGAGTTGTGATAATAAAAACGCTTT